AGATGCATTTCATGTCCCAGAGCCAGATTTAGAATTAAAGCTGGTGCTGTTGATGCCATAAGTTAGTTCTGGGGAGTAAATATATATCTGCTAACTTTGGGAATGTCAGAGGAAAAGAGGAATAGCAAGCACTGGTGGCAGGTGCTAAATCTGTACCACGGGCCAGGCTGTTGCTTCAGTTCCTGGTGCTGCTGTCTGTGCCCACAGCAGCCATTCCAAATAAATAATTGGAATATCAGCCTTTTGATGAATGCTCAGCCAGCAACTGATGGAAAACCAGCTGTTGCCCTGAATCCCTGCTCACGTTTGCACAGGCTGCTGTTGGGACACAGCCCCAGGCAGGGAACAGGTGTTCATTTCAACATCTGGCAGCATTTGCTTCGTTAGCTCTGTAATTGTTTTGTACTTGTTTAATTTCCCTGCTGGTCAGTGGGAAGGGCTTGGAAGAGCCAGGTTTGCAGCAGGAGCTCGTGGCTGTGCTGTCAGGAACCTTTTTGCTGTGACTGCTGCTGCTCCCAGGGGCTCTGGGGAGGATGAATGTTCTGGGGTAGCTTTTGTTAGTTGGAGTTTTGGTGTTGCTTTGTGAAAAACTGGAGAGGGATTGTACATGTGTAGAAATACACATAAATAAACAGACACTTGCTAAGTGAAAGCTGCAGGGGTAAAAAGCTACAAAGGCTATGGATTTTTTCCTGGTGTAAATTCTGTTTTGTGCTGGTTTGAAGCTGATGCTTCCTGGGAGCCCCTGGGATGTACAGAGTGAGCAGGGTCCTGTGCTCACCTCACGAGATCAGTGGCTCAGTCTGAACATCAAGAGCTGTTGTTTGGCTTTAAAAATAATCCCCAAAGTGACTTTTATCGTGTCTGGTTCGTGTTTTTGTCAGTGTGTGGATGCAGCTGGCTCAGTGTGAGGGAGCTGTATCCAAACACCTCCAGAGAAGGGGGACTTTGGGACTTTCCTGGGGTGATTTGGGGACTGTTAGGTGACAGTCACTCCTGCCTGGCTGCCAGCTCAGGATGTGGATGGGCCACATGGGCAAGGCCATGACAGGAGCTGAGGAAAAGATTGAGCAGGGCTGTGGAAATACTCTGAGCTTAAAGAAAGGGAGAACCTGCGGTGGAGGCTTAAGGAATAATGTAAGGTGTTAGTTCAGCTGGAAGAGGAGATCCTGTCTTTCTGTCTGTCTGTCTGTGTGTCTGTGTGTCTGACATCAACAAGATGCCATCAGACCCAGCAGGAGGCAGTGAAAGGACAGTCCCTGGAAGCAGAGGTGTGGCACTGCAGACCCCAGGGAGGGTCCTGCCCTGCTGTCCCCCCAGAGCTGCTGCTCTGCTGTCCCTTGCCCATCCCCGTTTTGGCACCCCAGTTTTGCTGGCTCAGCCATGGGTTGGGCCGTGCCTGTGAGTTTGATCATTGAACTGGTTCAGATTTCAGGGAAAAGTGAATTTTCCTTGCTCCTCCCCCTCGTTTGCAGGGTGATGCGTGGGTGTGTTGGTGTGGGAGACAAAAGGAGTGAGAATGTGCAAAGGCTTTGTGCTCCAGAGCAGCTGATCCCTGAGTGCTGGGAGCAGCAGCAGCCACAGAAACTGGAACAGGTTGGGTTGGAAGGGACCTTTACAGGCACCTAATCCAGCCCTGTGATGAGCAGGGACATGGAACCACAGAATCATTTAAATTGGGAAGAGTTTGAGATCATCAAAATGATGATCCTGCTCCAATCCTGTCCAAGCTGGCCTTGGGCACTCTAGGCAACCTGTGCCATGCCCTCAGCACCTTATCATCAAAAGCTTTTTCCTTTGGCAGTTCCATGGTCAGGGAAGCTGCTGGAGGAGAGTCTCAGCACTGCAGAGGTGAGGAGAGGAATTAGAAACCTGGAAATGGTGGTGCCATCACTGCTCCTCCAGTCACACAGCTAAAAATCTGTGTTGCTGTGCTTGGGAAGCAGCTGAAGGCTTAAAAGCAGGAACTTTTGCAGCTCAAGGGACACATGAGACCTGTAAACTCCGTGAAGGACACAGGGAGGAGGAGGAGGGGCATGGCTGGGTTCCCTGAAGCTGCAGATTTGAGCAGCTCTGTGCTGGGGCTGGAATTCCTGACCCATCCCACCAGCAAACTGACCAGCCCAGGAAAACCTTTGCTGTTGACTTCCATATTGTCAGTCTTCATTTCCATCTTCAGCACTGAAAAGATCCTTCTGTCTTTAAACTTGGCCAAGCAATGGATTTGACTGTGAAAGATGTGCCAGAGGCTGTGCTGCTGAACTTCCTCACAGGTATCAGCCCTAAAGGGTGTCCCTGGTGCTGGTTCCTGCAGGGGCTGTGGGCTCCTGGCTCTGCAGGGACCTGGAGCTCAGGGAGTCAGCAGTGAGACAGCTCCCCATGCACACTCAGATCCTTCATTCAACCCCAGCATTCACTCCTTGCGTTGTTTGGATTTGGATTTCTGGTTTTCTGCAGTGCAGAGCTGTGCTGAACTTTGGGCACACCTGTGAGGGCTCCAACCTGCTGGGCTGAAAACCTTCAAGCCACAGCCCTGCTGCCCTCCTTCCTTCCTTCCTTCCTTCCTGTGTTGCTCCTTTTGGTGTGTTAGAGTGAGTTCTCACACATGCAGTGGCGTGTTCTCCTTTTCCAAGTCAGGCAGGGCACACTTCTGCTTTGCTTTTTCCCTTCCTCCTCTTCCCTCCTCCAAAATGAAACTGCAGCTGAAACACGTTCAGCGTTCAGGCTGGCCATGATGCAGCAGAAAACTCTTCTGTGAGTATTTCCCCTTGGCTGTAATTAGTTTTTGTGTTCAAGGAGCAGTTTGAAACATTCATCCAGAGCCATTACAAGGGAGCATCTGTGTGAGGACATGTTTTGTGCAGCTGAGGAGCAGAAGGGCCGCTGGGACGGAACCAAAGGCAGCTCCTCAAGTTAATTGTAAGACTTTATTGGTGTTTCACTCCACTGCTCAAGGGTTTCTCATGTGAATCAATGCCAGGCTGCCTAATTTATGTGTGAACCCTGCTTGAAAAGCAGCCCAGATTGATTTGCTGACAGTGCACGGGGAAAGGTGACCCTAATTTGTGCATTCAGCAGGCCTGTTGGGACAGGGGGTGCTGGAAACTTGGGAAAATGGAACTGCAAGGTTCTGCTTTGGCTTGAAAGGTTCCCCATCCCTGTTCAGTAAAATGCCATTCATTTGGGGTATGGGTATTATAAAAGATATTAATGAGATGTTAAAACCAGTCAGAGTGGTTTTTATCTAAAATGTTTGTTCCTGTATGATTTTTTAAGCAAATGGTGGAGCTTTGTTGCTGGCCAGTGCTGAATTATTTGATTAGTGCCCTGGTTAGTCTGATGAGTCTCTTTTCCTTCTCTGTGTTTGTGTTGATGACCTCTGTCTATTGCTGAACTTGCAGCAGAAATAGTAAATAATTCAAAGTAGAGCCTTGCTGCAGAGACCTTTCTTAACTAAAATGAAACCACAAAGACGGACAGTGAGTGTACAGCAAGAGACAAAACTGGATGTGGAACAGGGCTGTGAAATGGCTCTGGCACAGACCTGACAGTAGACAACAAGTGCTTAGAAAATAATCCAGTGGTTTTTCCTTAATTTTCCACACAAAATCCCCCAGTGCTTTCACCTCGGCTCAGTCTCTCACGGGGCTGTGTGAGGTGCCCTGGGGACAGTGACAGCAGCAGGGGCGTGGAGGTGACAGCTGTGGTTGGGTGTCACAGCTGCCACCCCGGCCCCGCAGTCACAACCATTTCCTTTAGCTTGGGGATAGTGACAGTGGCCAGAGCTTGGGGACAGTGACATTGGCCAGAGCCTGGGGACAATGACAGTGGCCAGAGCTTGGGGCTTCCTGCTGACTCAGCAGTGCCATCCTGCTGTGCCACGCTGTCCCCTCACTGACCGCAGCGAGCAGCCCTGCAGAGTCACCCCTT